GCCAGTAAAAACCCGTCCAAAGTTTGAGGCATGAACTTTCGCTGCAGAAAAAGGTGCGAAGGAAAAACAATGCTTTGGTGCCAAAATTTCCTCACCGTTCCGTAACGGCCTTTACGACAGCTACCCGGTCCATTTCTACCTTTCGTGCCCGAGTCACTCAAAACACACGATTGGCTGATCTTAACCTTCCGGCAGTGCACCGGGTTGATGACAGAAGAATCGAAGTCATCGCCAATCATTTTCGAACGGCTCGCAACCCACGGTCGATACCACACTCGTGTCGCCCATGACCAGCACAGGGGAACCACGACGCCGTAAAGGAAACTATGCTGGAGCTGCAGTCCACGATGCCAGAACTCCGACGATCAAGTCGATGCCGGCTTGTCGTTTGGCTATCGAAGTAGGAGGACGATGGAGCCACGAAGCAACCCAGTTCTTGAGCCTCCTGGCACACAAGAAAGCACGAGATGCTCCACCTGCTCCCCGCCCATGTTTCACTACCGCTTTGCTCGCCAGATTGACAGCCATCCATACTCATCCATGCGGCCATGCACGCCTTTGCGTCGTTTTGCTTTCCCTGCCCGCGGGCGACTACCCCAACCCAGAGGCCCTCCCGCCCAACGGGCAACTCCTCGCCCATTACCCCGAATCATCCACCAACCCCAGCCGTCTCCCACCCATAATGGATGTGGCCTTTCCGTCTTGGAGTGGGCCGCAGCGGAGTTGGGCTACTTGGAGAGACCTGCGGGAAAAAGGGCGGAAAAAAAAAAAGACTTCGCCGGGCTGTTTTGCGGACATTGGCCCAAAAACCTTGTCCACGCAGTTCCACAATGCGTGCAGCCTTTCCCAATTGCTGTGTCCACGCGGGCTGGCACCGAAGCGGCTGCCCGTTCAAAAAAAAGGAACTTGTCGGCCCTCACTGAGGCAAATCCAACTAGCACACCATTCTGGCTATTGACGGCATTCGAGCCTATGACAGCACCTCCAGAAGCTGCATGTTGCCAAGGTTGGGTTAGGGGTTCGCTGCGCGCAGTTGCGTCCCATGTGTTCGGTTGTGGTACCCATGACATCTAGAGGATGTTTGGCGCGATTCTTTGCACCAACTTCACGCAGTCATCAGCCAAGGCGGAGGACAAGGCGATCCCCTGATGCTCGCCTTTTTTTTCCTGGGGCAGCGCCGAGCTTTGGTAAACGTTTTTTCCCAGCTCGAGCAGTCCAGCCACACGGCTGACCCACACAGCATCTCGAGACCCACGCGCACATCCATCTCAACCACGGAAAAATACGAATTTGAACAGGGGCGGACAACCCCCAAACACAGACAGCGTCGGGCCAACAACATGGGTCGGAAACCATTCCTGTGCACCAAAGGAGCAGGGCGCACCCATCGGCAGCCTTACTCATCTCCAACAGGTCTCGGCAGCTGTTCTCCAACAGCCCCCCGCACCTCGAAGACCTGCAAACCAATTGCTTCCTTTTGCTTTACATAACCGGCCCACGAAGCAACTACTTTCTGCGCATGCTGCCACTGCATGTGACAGCCCACTTTGCACAACAGCACGGCACAGCCATCACCACTTGTTTATCCGATGTTTTTGAGTTAGCCACCTGCCCATCGATGCGATCGCTCGAGCTCACCTGCCGGGGTTTTCGGGTTTCTTGCAGCACTTGCCCTTGCAGCAGCCGCTTTTGGGGCCTCCAGGGTGGACAGCAGCAACAACCTGCCCTTGCAGCCGCCCTGCAGCCCTGGGGTTGGCTCGCTTTCGCGGCGCAGTAGGCCTTTCTCTCCAGCTTGCTGGCCCTCCCTGCCGTCGAACTCGCCAATGTGGATGGGGACACCAACTTCTTAATGATCTCATCCCCCCAGTCGCTGCTGGAGCGCAGCCCAGCCGTGCGGGACTCTCGCGACGCAGGGCCGGCGTTTCCCTTTGATCTGCGACGTTGTAGTTCCTTAACTTAGGCGTGGTGGGAAATGGAAAATAGGACACGCACAGTAGCAGCGTTGCCTTGCTGCTTTGATAGATGAGGGATTGGCTGGTTTTCTGCATCGCCATATATGATGTTTTGGTGTTCTAGTTGGGGAACCTCGCATTTTCGTGCAACCTGGTGGGGCACGACTTTCATGCTTCCAGTGCTCGTAAAAGCGCTAGGTTTTTTGAGGGGTGAGTCTGGGTGAGTGCTAGTTTAGATGCGCCCGCTTCAGTGATTTGAAGGGATTTGGTCAAAAATGATTGTGGAAGTGGCAGCGTTCACTTTGGGGACAAGGCATGACTGGGGGGTGTCTTTGTTAACCATGAATTCACATGGGTCAAATCCCGGAAGGGACGACGAAAAAAACTGTTCCCCAAACAGTTTAAACTCTGTGGCTGAGCTTTGCGGGTGGGCTCTGTGGCTGGGCTCTATGTCCAGGCCTTGTCCTCCTGTTGTCCTCTGTGGCTGGGCTCTGTTCTGTGTCCAGCCCTTGTCCTCTTCTTGTCCTCTGTGGGCTCTGTGTCCAGGTCTTGTTTTTATTTTTTGCTGGGCCTTGTCCTCCTTTTGTCCTCTTGGCCGCGCCCCTGAAGAACTCTGTGGCTGGGCTCTGTGGCCCGTGGCCGCGCCCCTGAACTTTGTGGCCCGGGTTGCTGGAGAGGAGTGTGGAAGCGATGTCAATGCCGACAAAAATTCATTGATGAAACGGGTGAAGGTAGGGCGTACCAATTTTTTTTTGATTAATATTGGTCTAAGGCGAATCGTTCTGAAACTGTTTGGGGTCTATGCTGGTATAATTGTTTTGGTGTAGCCTTCCATGGGCTTACAGAATCAGACGTGAAGTTAACATAAATCATATAGTTATATACTCAGGCCTACGGGCTACGAGTGTGGGGGCGTTGTGGGGAAGGAAGGCCCAGCTTCGCCTTTGCCTTTGGAGGAGGGGTGGATTAATTTAATGTCTTGTTGGCGGGATGGGCTGGGGGACGGGGACATGGCCCCCAAAAGGGTTATGGGGGCTTGCAAGCACTCGGCCAGGTAGGAGAGGGCCCCGCAAGCAGAATCAATAGAAGATTGATCGAGGCTAGAGCCTGGCTCACTGCAATATCCACTAACATCGACAAACAGAAACATGGGCATCCTGATTTATGAACTTCATTCATTGAGTTCCTCCTCGACCCATCAACGTTGGGACCTGGTGAAAATGATTGCGTCGCCACCACGAGACATCATGCAGGCAGTGATTGTCACAGTGTTTGGTTTGCTTAAGTGCTCACACGGTTTGGGCAGGCCAGGGTTTTTAGAGCCCCAGGGCACCCAAAAGAACATTCGTAATGATATTTTCATTGAACGCGGTGGCGTGGTTTGAATCAGCCGTGGTTGGTCAATTTCGGGTGCAAACATTTGAATCGGCGTTCGTTGCGGATTTTCCCCTGACCAGGGTGATATTTTTTTCCATTTCGCCATTCCAAAGGTGCTTTGGGGTGTTGGCTGTTCGCGCCGAAAAGTTTCCAACGCATGGCTTCAGTGTGGGGTGATGATCAGGGCGGGTGGGAACCCTGGAGCGGGCGCCATGGAGGCGCCCATGGCATACCAGATGGGCATTTTGATACCCAGCCGCTTGGAAACAGTCATCTCAATCTTCCGTATTGGTTCTTCATTTTTTTTGCGGGCGATGCATTCCAAGGCCAAGATGCCGGAAGGCTGATTGGGAAAGCAGGTTCGTATTTTTTTGGGTGGTGACACCTATTGAAAGTATTGTGACAAGACTTCATGCAAGCGCCATTGTGTTGGCCACAGGTGCCGGGTTGAAACAGGTTCGCGAGATGTCCCAATGCCAAGTGAAACTCGGTGCCGTGCTTAGGCCCCAACTGCTGCACATTTTTTCCTGCTTCCAGGGTTCCGATCGCTTCGTGACAAGTCTGATTTTTTCAGGGTCCTTAAGGGCCAGAAGATTGTTGGAATGGGCCTGAATATCGCCTGCGCGAGGCTCAGACCCTGATTCACAGCAGAACAGGAGGTGTGACATCGGCGGGCCCACGGTCGAACACATTGCCAGCGCGGTTCATGCGCCGGGGTCTTAGAGTCTTAGAGTTTTTTTTTTCAAGGCTGAAAGGACCGCATTAGCGATTAATGCTCTCCCCTGTCGAATGATTGGACTTTGGATGGCTCGATTTTGTCCTTGTTCGACTCCAGGATAGGGCTTCGGCTGTTCGAAGGACCTTCAGTCGGACACTAAGAACATCCACACATATGCACTATTCTACAGCACATGTCGTTGTGATGTCGAGGCAAGTGTCAAAATGATGGTGGCCTTCCCTAACGATTATGTCGGTGGCATTATTGGGAAAGGTGAGCGCTCCCAACCTTGACATATTTTAATATATTTTCACTCGTGGGTCCTGGCACGTTTGGTTCGTGACTCCTGGGAGGCGCTGCCAATTTGAAACACATCAGAGAATCCACCGGAGTTGGCTTGACACTGGAGAAGGGGGCAATGAGTGACCAGGCAAGTGCGACAAGTGTGCCTTCCAACACGCACACACACACACACACACACGACACACGCACTCTTTCTCTCTATTTTGATGTCGAACTCGATGTTTCGGGATGTTTCGTGCCTTTTTGTTTGGTCGCTGGGTGGCATCGTTTGGGCAGGGTGACCGAGTTGGTCAACTGGTTGGCGTGAGGGATCAGCTGGGTGCTGCCATCAGAATTGCACTGAATGGCGCCCGGTGCCTTAGTTGGTGGGTTGCAAAATGGCATTCGTGTGTTTTTACATCATGATTTCCATTAGTTTATTGACACGCGGTTGGTGAAGGGGTTCTTCAATATGTTTGCGAATTTTGCGACTCATCTCCGCCCCCTTTGCCAGGAACCATGCCGGGCTCAGGGCATCATAAGAACAATTCACAGCTGAGGTGAAACTGTTTCTAGTTCCAATCTGGGGGCCAAAACATGGATTGCCACACGACAACCTGCAAGGGTTTCCACATAGCTTGTACCCTATGTGATGGACACTTGGTGCCGCCATGTCAAAGGGGCTCCGCGCTTTGTGCGCACAGTGTCAGCAGCCACTCAATAGCGCGACGGTGGCAAGTGGCTGCAACCACTTGTGACTCGGATTTGGCAGCTTTGAGGTGCAAAGCAAATCTGGCATCTAATTAGCAGAGTCACAGAACTACTTGGAGCCTGGAATGTGGCTGAGGTTTCACAAGGTTTGTCTCATTGAGGGTGCCGGCTGCGGGCGGTGTGGAGCAACACTGCGTCCCACCGACTGTTTGAGACACTTGGCCAGTTTGACTTCAGAAACTCGAGGCAGTTGATGAGCACTCCGCCTGGTTATGGGGGTTGAGTAAGACGTCACCGCAGAATGCAAATTTGCTTGATGTTCGGCACCAATGTTAGATCACTCACACACGGCACCTTCCAAAGTGATCTAAACTAAACTTACCACGTCCCCAAACCACGTGCTCAAGGCCTTTACAACTTGTGCTGCCAAGAGGATCATGAGGACGTTTCTGATATTATGGCTGCCGCGGCACGAATCAGAGCGTCACTTGAAGGCTTGGAGTTGTTTTTGTCTTCAGTTTGTCAGATGCATGTTGCGGACCTGTGGATGTGCGTGCAACGGGTGTTGCCTTTCCGCAGGTCTCGATGATGTGGACGAGGCCATCTTCGACAATAGCTTCTTTCAGGCGCAGGTCAGCGTCCGAAAGAGCACCAAGTTGCTTTGGTCACTGGAGCCGACCGCAGTCGGCAATGACATTGTTCTGTTAAGTCTTTGAAGACTAGTCGGCCCGTCAGCCATTTATTCTTTCTTGGGTTAGTTTTGCGAGCATGTAAGCCAGGGTTTCCGTTGTTGACTCAGTTGACCTTTTTTAGCGTGTCTCTGGTTGAGCATGATCAGGGTGCATCTGAAGTAGAGGAGGTGGCCTTGCTGTGCCTCATGCGTGAAAGAATTGGCTCCAGAAGCAACATGGCAAAAACATGTTGTGAGGCGGTTGCTTCCCTGAAACGGTTTGTGTAGACTCTAGACAACTTCCGGAAGTTGGTGACAGACTTTTTTCTTTCTATTTTGGAGCTGCCCATCACTTTTGAAGCGGGTTTGGTCTACGGAGCCTGCAGCACTTTGCCGGTTTGAGACATCACCTAGGAGTGGAACTTGAAGATGAGAGGACCCAGCTTTGCACAGCGCGCGAGCGATTGGAAGTTCAACAGAGGAAGCTGCGGGCACAACAGAGCTGCAAGCGCAAGCGGGAGGCACCGAGGGGTCACAGAGTGACATGTGACATGACTGTCTTTGTGGCAGTTTCTTCTGGAGTTCCCACACACAAACATCGCTCAAAGATCGGACCGTTGATCTGAGATCTGTATATGTATTCCGTTTGTGTCCGGAGATTTAATGATGTTTTGGAACGAAGTGGTGTGAGCTTTTGCAGCCCTTCAAACCTTTGACTCATCTCTTCGAGCCAGCCAGAACGGCACGTTCATTCGGTGCAGGCAATGGGATGCGTGGAGGTTGAACGTGCCCTTTGAAGCATGCATGACAGATATGGACCTGACTGCATCCCCCCTTATGTTCCCTTTCTAGGCCTTGCTACATATTTTTATATACACTTACATATTTGGGTTCTCCCCATCTCAGCCCTACCCACCTTGCTTCACGTAGCGAAGGGAATCCCAAGCATAATATTTTCATCCTTGTGACCTTGTGGTTTTGTGGTGAGCTCGCCCACCTATTTCTCAACCACTCCCGCGGCCATTCAGACCACTTGTCAGGAAGAGGCTCTCAAGCTCAAGAAGGAGATTCGGAGTTTGGTTGAGCCCAAGCTCAATCATAGCTGGGGTTTAGCAACCCAGTCAGCTTGCGTGGTTTCTGTGTGTGATTGGAATCGGTCAAGAATGTGGAGGGCCTTCCTCCAGTTGTCTAGGAGTCTAGCAGCTAGTGGACACATGCACCATTGGCAAAGACAGCAAGCTGTAGTTCCTGCGTTGAGGAACAGCACGATCAAATTTCAGGGGAGTTGAACCAGGCCTGAACCTTGGGTTCGTTTGTCCTTGGACGAAGAATGTTGGCCTTGTAGACATTCTTTGTTCGAGAGTGGGGCAGTCAGGTGTTTGAACCTTGTGTCAGTTCCTCTGACGCATGCGTTGCCCCATCATGCAGAGGTTAGGCAGCGCGATGCCATTCTGGAATATTGGGAGGCTCTACGCCATGGCAAGGATGATGAAGCTTTGCAAAAGCTCATTAAGTTAGTTGGTGACTTGGATCAAGTGGTGCAGAAAGTTTGCATGGCTGGCTAGTGCAAAGTACTCCTGCGAGCATCGTTTGATTTCAGGACTTGTGTCACACCCCTGGAAGATGCTGTCGCATGTCGCGCGCTTGCGGGACCATTTCAGGAAGCAACGTGTTGCTGAGTTGCATTTGGTTCCAGTGAGTTGGTCAGTCTGGTCAAGTTTTGCAGGTATTTATCAGCCAATCAGGGCCTACATTGCACAGAGCCTTGCACAGGGACCATAGGTGCTGACCCCACTTTGATAGTCGGGGTCCTTCCCATGACACACGCACACACACAGACACACGGAGCTGTATCCCTATGACCGAAGCTTTTCCTGATAAATGTCAACTTTTCTACGTGTGCTTACGGCTTACTGGGTTAGGTCAGGTTCATTTGGCTGGTGGTCGACACCAGGCCCTTTGAATCACTGCAATGGCAGCGACGTGTGCTGAGGACCACCACGACCGGGATCGGGCGCTCGCAGACCAGCGAGAGAAGCGTGCCAAGCGCGAGATTGCTGAGCTTGAAAGGAGAGGTGCTGAGTGTCTCACCGTTTCACAACAAAGAAGAAGCGGTGATGCGATAGCTCAGCTGTTTCTTGAGGCCTGGTTTGTCAACTTCAGCTAACACACACAAATTGCAACATATACAACATACATCAACATACTGTATAATATACATAGTGCATATACATGTGCACACCATTATATATGCACCTCTAACTGTGATTCGTGTATGCACGTCTCAAGCTTCATGTTCAGTTTGGGTGCTGCTGCTGAGGGGTTGACTGCCCTACTTTCCTTTAGCAGCAGCTTGGCTTGTCCTGTGCACTGTCATCCTTCCCTGGCTTTACCTCTCCTTACCGGTCTGGCTATTGGCATCCTCATTGGCCTTGCCCTGGGTTTTTGGATCGCCTTGCAGTTGCTCCTCCCTCGGTCAGTGCTAACTCCTGACATCCCTGCTCGGCAGCCTACCGACCTCAGGAGACGACCTTCTCGCCTGGCTGGCTACTTGCATGAGTGAACCCAGCTCCTCAGGTGTGCAAGACCAACTTCGAGCACTTACACAAGCCATCCAGGCTTTGACGTTGGTGGTGGAGAGGAGACAGGGCGAAGGTTCAGAAACAGCTCCCAGAGAGGATACTACAGTCTCTTCCCTCTCAGGTTGGCAGCTGGTGGAGGACAGTGCACCGATTTCTGGGGCTCCCAGTGGGTATCCTCAAAAAGATCCAGTCATCCTTTTCGAAGAAGGCCCTCCAGACACTCCTCAGTTCTGCTACGACATTGCCAAGAAGCATTTGTCATCCTCGAAGGCTCATTCAACAGACAGGGCTCGAGCTTCCTTTGTGGCAGGGTTTTGGGCAAGAGCATTCTGGAAGTGTCACACTGAGTATCACAGTGATTACAAGCCAGGTTTGCCGGCTGTTCATTGGGTGCTTCGCAAAGGAAAAGGTTTTGATTTGCTGCGAGTAACCTCTCAACGAGATTGTGATCGGTTGACAGCAGAGTTCGAGGATATAGTCTTTGTGGAGAAGCTCCCCTCGCTCACAGAGTTGCACATCTTCTGTGCAGGGGCGTCTGTTCCGGTGCCACCTCTGTGGCGATGGAACGGAGAGCGCTGAAAGACGCAGCCACGAATTCAGATCCGACGCTGTTGATCCTCACAGTTCCCGCAGAGATGTCAAGCAGTGCCGGTGAATTGCAAGCTTTTGCCTCACCTCTCATTCTCAGGAGAGGAGGGCTTATGCTGGCCCTTCCTATAGGAGTGATTCGTGAAGATCTCCTTCTACAACCGATTGGGGCGGGCGAAGAAGAGATGATTGGACCTTCTCGCACCTTTGAGGTGGAGCTGACAGACGAAGATGAGCATGGATCTGTGTTTCATACCGGGATCCGTGCAGATGTGTTAGTGATTGACTTCACTGACGAAATTCTTCGTTACTGTCGTGAGTATGATCCGGTGGTTGATTCCCTTGAAGAAATATCCCCTTATAGTGAGGGACTAGCCACAGGGCTTCCCGCGTTTGGAGATCTGCTCACTGCCATCCATAACTGGGCCGAGGAGGAGACCGTGGGCCGTGTCCATTTTTACAGCGCTCGAGAAGAGCAAGATGCCAGACCTCCGGCCCTACGGAAGACACCCGCCAAGAGAGTCACCAATGCTTCCCTCGCCGAGCAAGTGGCAGCTCTTTCTGCTCAGGTGGCAGTGCTGTCCGCTCGCCACGAGACAGCCTCGAGGGAAGTTCCACCGCTACCCAAACCCGGCCAGGCTTCATTTGCCACTCCTGCAACAGAGCCAGGACCTTTGGCGGGCATAGGCTACCGAATGCCCCCGGTCTCAGCAGGACTGCAAACCCCGGCCCGGCTTTCTCCTGCAAAAGCGATGCAGTTGGTGGGGCCCCCTCCAAAGACCCGTACAGGTCCCAGCAGTGGCCTTGCTTTAACGGTGCCCGACGAGCCAGTGGACCCCCTCCGAGCCCCCAAGGACCCTACCGAGTTAGCCTTGAGTCAGCAATCGGCAGCTTTGACTGCTCTCGTGACACATCTCATCCAGGGAAACGATCCATTTGGGTTGGAGGCGAGTTCATCCGGGGCTACCTCGAGTTCCACAAAAGGCACGCTCAGAAGGGAGAAGCTCCAACAAGATTTGGCAGCACGCCAGTCCCAGTTTTTCCTCATGGTGCAACAGCAAGTGTTCAAGAAGCTACACCCGTCCAGCATGTTGCCCAAGAACGAGGAAGAGTTGCAAGCAAAAGGAGCCTCCCTACTGACCTACCTGGAGCGGTATGGCGGTTACAGGAACCAGAAGGAGGCAGGTCTATGTATGTGGGTTCTTGCTCACGCCATGGATGCGGCCGGCGCTGGCGACTTTGTGGCTACCAAAGAGTTCTTAGCGCTAGGCATCATGGCATTAGAGCAGTCTGTGTTCGATGCGGGAGATTGGGGCCTCGCCTATGTACTGGCCTTGATCGAGGACCCACCTCCTACGATGTTTCAGGACAAGATGGCATCCCTCACAGCAGCGGGCAGACCGTTTTCCCCCTTGGTGCCTCCAGCTTTGGCGTCCATCAACCTTGCCTACCTCAAGGAGATAGACCTTCTTCAGTCCAGGAAAGCAGATGCCAGAGGCAAGAAACCACAAGGGACAAAGGGGGAGGAGGACAATTCCTCACCCTCCCCAAAGAGGAAGCCGAAGTTCCCGAAGAAGCCAAAAGCCCTCACCGATGGGTGAGGAATACACAAACGGAGCCTGAGTCAGAATTCAAGCAGGGGTCCAACTGAGCCTCTTTTGCAGTGACTGGCGATCCTGGGAGGGACCTGCCGAGCATGGGCCCCAATCTCCAGTTTGGAGAGAGCCCGCTCACAAGGCCTCCCCGCTCCCCATTGCTTGAGGGTGATCGGGTTGAGGCACATCGCCAAGACCTCGGTCACCCTGAGGCCGGGTTGAGCCGATCGCACTTTCTTCAGTCCAGACAGGCCAACCTCCCAATGTGGTGTTCCATTTTGGTCAAACTGGTGCTGAGACCGAGGAGTTCTTTTTCCGCATTTTTGTCTTCAACCATTCGCATTTCCAAGCAGGCGGGTCCTCGGCTGCCTGGAACTCCGTCTTTGTTCCCTGTGCCTATTCCTCCTTTGTTTAGCCACAGGATGCCCACTTCTCTTTCGCAATGCAAGCGAAGGAGATCGCTGATTGACCGGGCTCTTCATGTCATGTGTATGGCGCTGAATTTTTGGCACTATGGTGGCGAGTTTGGTCAGATGCAGTCAATGTGGAGGGAGCCAAACAAGCAACACATAGCTTTGTTTGCACGTGTACGCTCCTTTATCAAGACGGACGGCCTACTTCCCTGCTTTGATGCTCTGAAGGTGGGTCGGAGGAATCCAGAGATTTTTGCACGCCTTGGAGAGTTAACTGGACTCCTCACACAATTGGGTTGTTCATCCTCTCCCTATGACAAAGTTTTTGCAGGAGTAGAAGTGACAGCAAATAATGAGCTTCTCCCGGAGTTGATGCCCTATCGAGATTTGGATCCTAGCCGTCTGCGTCTTTTTGGTCGAGGTCATTGGGATGTCACGGATTTCCTGGATGATTCACTGGTGATGGCATACAGGGAGCCTTCGTCCATACACTGGGCTCGAACTCCTGAAAGCTGGGAATACCCACGGATACGAGACACCGTGGAAACTCTTGGTCAATTAGCTCGCCTCTGGGACAAGCAGGGCCTTTTGATGCTACATCAAGACGGGGTGGAGGACAGGCCATCCTATGAGCTCGTCCGCATCTTCAACTGCTACAAAGCAGCAGACCGAGACAGACAGATAGGAGACCGTCGAGGCCGCAATGCTGTTGAGTTCAAACTGAAGGGCCCATCTTCAGACTTGCCCTCTGCAGTTGATGTATGTGACCTTTGGGTTGACCTGACTACTCAGAGGCTCTCTCTATCGATCACGGACCGTCGGGATTTTTATCATCAACTGTGGGCAACTCGTGCACGGGCAGTCTCTAACACTTTGGGACCTGGGCTTCCTCAGAGCTTGGTGGAGGACACTGAAGCCTACCAGCATTTCCTTTTGAGGCAAGCAACCTTCCGTTTCAAACGAACACAACATGGAGATCATCTAGAGAAGATTGCCAACCCTCTGCAGGGATATGCAGGTACTGCGGGCGCAGTTGACAAGTCTGGAAGGTCTTCACTCCTTTTGGGTGTCCTTTCAAAGCGTGCTCCAGGGAGACCATGCTGGCGTTGAGATTGCAACAAGTGCACATGTTGGCTTGCTGAAGAGGTATGGACTCCTCTCCGAGGAGACTATGATGAGAGCAAGCCGTCCTAGTTTTAGCAGAGAAGTTCTGGAGGGCTTGGTCATTGATGATTTCTTTAGCATCTCAGTTGATCCCAAGGGGACTGCAAAGGAAAAGACAGCCTCGTTCAAGTCCTATCAGAAAGCGCAGGAAGCTTACTCCAGGTTTGATATCTTAGGCTCTCCCGAGAAAGACATCATTGCGGAGCCGGCGGGGAAAGCCATAGGAGCTTACATCAACTGCAGCGAAAAGGCGGTCCAGCATGGGCTATGCTTGGTTGGTGCACCTCCTGAGAAGCGGTTGAGTTTGTCGCTACTGACGCTTCATCTCTGTGGCCTCCCATATACAACGGTGTCGCTACATAGATGCATTCTTGGGGCCTGGGTTTCTATGCTCATGTTTAGGCGGCCCATGATGAACTTGCTGAACAGGTCTTTTGCTCTAGTCAATTCCTATCTGGCTTGGGATGATGCTTGCCTCATTCCGCTGCCTAGAGAAGTGGCATGTGAACTTGTGCTGGTTGCTGTTCTTGCTCCCCTGACGCAGACCGACATTGCGGTTCCCTTCTCTCCAACAATATTTGCAACAGATGCCTCCGACAGCAGAGGAGCTATTTGCAGTACAGAGGCTACACCGGAGTTAGCACAGCTGCTTAGCAAACATTGCAAAACGAAGGGGGCTTACACTAGGTTGCAATCAGAGTGGACAACCTTGAAGAGGAGAGTCTTTGCAGAGGATGCTATCGAGGAGGAGCAGGCTCAAACGTCAGTGCAGAAGCCCCTAGCGTTCACGTTCAGTTTTATTGAGGTTTTTGCTGGAGCTGCCAGAGTCACCAAATGCATGAGCAATCTTGGTGTTTCTTGCGGTCCTCCTTTGGACCTCTCCTTTTCATCGGAGTACAACCTGAAGAGCACGCATGTCTTGGAATGGTTATTTCATCTCATTGAGGAGGGTTCTTTGAAGGGCCTGATGATTGAACCTCCATGCACCACTTTCTCAATCATGAGGAGACCGGCTTTGCGAGACTCTTCACACCCGTTTGGCTTCCATCCTCATGAAGAGAAGACGCAGGACGGGAACATACTGGCCCAAAGAGGTTTGCAGCTGATGTGGAAGGCTGGTGTTCATGGTGCATCGGCCATGTTTGAGAGGCCCTTCACGGCCAAGTCAAAGCACTTGCCTTCATACAAAGCTGTTGTAGCCCTCTCGAATGCGACCGAGATCAGGTGTGATTCGTGCCAATTTGGCTCCCCTCATCAAAAGTCCTTTGCTCTTCTTGGCATCAATCTTGACATGGCCCCCCTGAATCGAAGATGCAGAGGTCAGTGCCGTCATATCCCCGTACAGGGGGTTTACACGAAGTCGTCAGCTATCTATACAGAGGAGCTCGCGCAGACTATAGCGGAGGTCTTCTTCCAGAGCATCCAGTGCTCCTTCGAAGAGGACGAGGAGGCTGCTGTGCCCGTGTCCGGCCTTGAAAACCAGTTGGTTAATGAGATCATGCTCGCCAGCCCCTGGACGGTAGAGAGCTCTTGGAAGTTCAAAAATGGTTCACACATCAACCTCCTGGAGATGAGATCAGTGGAGAGGCTCCTGGAGAAGAGATCAAAAAGGGGACCTTCCAGGATAGTATGCATGGTCGACTCCTATGTGACCCGCTGTGCTTTGGGCAAAGGCAGATCAGCCTCCATAGCTTTATCTTCAGTCATCCGGAGGATTGCTTCCACAATGGTGAGCTTTGGGCAGTATCTGGTCACCCCTTTTTGCCCTACTCGGCTAAACTGTGCAGATGATCCCACTCGAGATCGCGAGCTCAGGAGGCCTGTGAAGGGCCTAAACTGGCGAGCTTTGTCGGAAGAGGAGCTATGGGCCTTGGCATCCATTAGACTCACCAAGGGATGGGCTTCAAATTGGATTAGGCTGGTTCTGCTACTTATGGGACCCTACGTTGCTGAGCTTTCCAACAGAGCACTCTACAGATACTCTCGGCCTTCCTCGTCTCTCGCTTCCCCATGTCCTTCCACAGATGGGCGCACCTTTCCACAGATTCACACTGGCGAAAGATTGGACTTCGATCAGACTTTGGGCTTCCCGGGGGAAGGGCCTGTAATTGGCCTTTCCTCGCCTTGGGTTTGGGCATTCAGCTCCAATGTTTTCCCTGGTGTCCCGGTTGACTTCGACGGACCTCCTCCTCATTTCGCCTTCCCGGCACGGCCTCCTGGGCTTTTCTGCTGGCGCTGGGGTCCTTGCTGGGTGCTGGGTGCGGTAGTGATTTTCCAGGGTTTACCGGGCGCAAACGCCATGGAGCCGCAAACAACTGCCGATCACGCTCGTGCAGCACTCAGAAGATCCAGGCCAGTGCTGCCTGAAGGCAGACCCACTCTGGATAGGACAAACAAATTGAGAGAAAGGTACTGGGAACAATTTTTAGGCTGGCTGGAAATTGAGGGCATAGATTTTTCTGCTCTTTTGGCTGATCATAGCCATTACATTGATGAGATAAACACGGTCCTGACAGCCTTTGGTCGCGCCCTGTATAGGGCAGGAAGACCATACAACCAGTATGCAGAAACAATAAACTGCCTCACCTCCAAAAAGCCTGCGCTGAGACGGTGGATGCAGGGAAGCTGGAACTTAGCGTTCCAATGGATGCAAGCGGAACCAACAGCTCATCATGTAGCCATGCCCTGGCAGGTTTTACTGGCGATGACAACAGTATGCCTAATGTGGGGGTGGCTTCCGCTCGCTGGAGCTTTGGGTTTGATGTGGGGAGCACTGCTTCGGCCGGGCGAATTCCTGAACGCACTTAGGCTGGACCTGCTCCTGCCCCGCGACGTGGAACAAACTATATCCTTCGGGATCTTGGCGATCAAAGAGCCAAAAACACGCCATACTGGTGCAAAACACCAAGCTGGAAAGATTGATGTGCCCGATCTGCTAGCTGTAGTTGACCTGGCATTTGGCGACTATGAAGGTGGACGCCGCCTCTGGGGACACTCTGGCCAAACGTTGAGGTCAAGGTTTCAGGCTGTGTTAGCGGCCCTCCGGCTACCTACGGTGAGGGCTGGAGCGCTTAAACCGCTCGACCCAGGTTCTCTTAGAGCTGGTGGAGCAACGTGGCATTTGCAATGCACCGAAGACGGCGAGTACTGTCGTCGCAAGGGTCGCTGGTTGTCACAAAAAGTTATGGAAGTCTATGTTCAAGAAACCACTGCCCTCCTTTACCTCAAGAAGATCGATCCCAGCGCACGTGATCTGATTCTGGCTATGGCAGGTTTGTTCCCTCGCATTTTGGAACTTTGTCAAACATACAAAGCATTGCACCTCCCCTCCGTGTTGTGGTGCAACCTCCTGAAGACCGAAGCTTGGACGTGAAGGGGACTACGGGTGTCAAGCAGAGGTCAAAACAGACCCTCTGCCTGTGAACCTCGA